AGAAAATGGTAAAGAAAAAAGCTTGATGAGCAAAAGAACTGCCTGGCTCAAATGTACGAATTTTCTTTGATTTGCTTGCCATTCTTGTTAACTAATGCATTTATATGAAGGGGAACTAAACAGTCAACAATGGCATCGTTGGAAAAATTAGTATTTCCTATTCAGAATGCAGGCCTCCTCTTTACAGAGCATGCTTTCTCCCAAAGTCCTGATGTTGATACAAAAAACTAAAGGTGACAGTCAAAGAAAACAATTCATAGCATCTTTGTTAATGGCGTCGTCGTTAACATTGGAATAATCAATTTTTAAGGTCCCAATTGCATTGCGAAACTGTTTGCTGGCCTGTTCTGTTGTTTAGATGGGGACCGTAACGATTAACAGGGCGACGACGGAAACGAAAATTTTTCGGAACAATAGGGTTTAATGAGCAAAACAATGGCTTTGCTAGTGCGTTCTAAAACTAAGCATGTTTGTTGACCGTCCCGTACATCAAAAACTGAACAAATCCCTCAGAACAGAGGCCTTGACAAACCAATTTGTCTTGTTTTCATTTCTATGATCACTTCCTTAATATGGATGGGTCTGACGATTTTAGACACAATAAACACGTCTGGCTGTCGGAAAATGTAAGCATTATCTTTTTTGGCACAGGTAGAAAGACTTGAGGTTCAAAATATACGTACGGAATGTTATGGAAAACAGTAACATATAACTCAACTTGTAAGATACTTGTAACTTTATAAATTAATCACTTTTATAAGGGAAAATATGATTTTCAAAACGTTAAATTAAAAAAAAAATTTATACAAAAATAGAAATCAATCACCAGTGTGTTTGATTTGATAATTGAGTCAGTTCTTCATCTTTTTCTTCTCGTTCACTTCTAACATTTAATGAATATTTTGAGTTTTGTCAGGAACGATCGTTTGTCGTAAGTATCCAGAAAAAACACCCTAACTTATGATTTACTGAGAGCTATACCATCATTAACAAACGTACCTCTCCTCATTTCCCGATCCATGCTTTCCTACTCTGTGTTTTAAATTTCAAACTTCCACGCAACTCATGCCCAGTCATGTAAACTCTCTGCTGAAGACTGTGAAAAGCAACATGGTAGAGTGATATTCCCTAGCGAAATTAACGGTCACATTAACTAAACCAGTTACGTAAGAGTTTCTTTCCTTTCCTCGCTTGAAGGAGGCTTTTTAGCCGGCAGTAATAGCTAACAAGCTTAAGCTAGACATAGCTTATGAAATATACATAACAAACAGTTGTGAAGGGGATGATTCACCTAACAAAGGGGTTGGCAAGAGCAAAGGTGTCACAACCAGTTGAAATTTCCTATGGTTATGCTCTCAATTGTTGAAGGAGAATATATTTGCATTTCAAACTCGTTTAAGAAAAAAATTAACCACGGATAAAAAACTATAGATGAAAAATTTCTTGCGCAATATCCATCATGTCACTGGCTTAACTGTAGATCAAGGGAGTACTGAAGTGTGGTGCTGCGTCGATGGGGAGTGTTGGATGGTAATTTTGTTTAACAACTAAGTTTATAATGTAAATTGGCCATAGTATAAAGTCTATAAAGCTGACTTTTCGGGTGCCAGCCCTTCGTCAGTTTCTCTTATGAAGGGCTAACTCTCGAAACGTCAGCTTTAGAAGGTCGTGAGCGATTGACATTTTAAACTCATTTGATAAAACCAAATTAATTTTGGATCAACTGGGTTTATCTGGTAGGCTTTCCTAATCTCTTTTAGTTGTTTCTGGGGTTTTGTAGTGTGCTTTTTTCACACCCGGTCAGATTCCCGAGATCTGTTGCCAGTAGTTGACGGTCTCAAATTTTCACGAATTGTTTTTACTCCGAACTGAAAAAGACTGATAGCAGATAGAGCACGAAGGAATGGGAGGAAAGAATTGCAAAGAAGCTTTTAATTACAAACTTGCCGTGTTTGCTTTGCTGATCTGTCAGAATAAACTTGTTTTAGGGTGTAGCCGACAAAGTTAGACTCAGTCATTCGTTCTGTGGTTTGTATACAATTGCGTTTTCAAAGAGATCCTTGCACAGTCTAGTAATCCGTGTATTACAACTCACTCCCAACATTATCGGGACTTTCTCTGTCAAAGTTATTCATGTCAACGTGAGATCACGATAAATTCTCCAAAACTGCATCAATAGAAAAGAGAGGGAAGCCGCGACTTTGAACCTTATAATTAATTAGCAACCTGGACGCTTACCTGAAGCCAAACAGTCTTACTCCTCTGTTTTTTTTTTCTCCTTTGCATCTGTTAGGAACTACCGCAATAAGTATTCTTTACTCAAATCATGATTCTTTTACGAAAACCAAAGCGACAGCTGCTTGTTAACCACGCACCGTGATTCCCGCCCACTTGGACGTTTGCAACCGCGTTGCTCAGCTGTTTTAAAAAAGCGGCGTCAATAATTTAGCCTTCAGCTTAATAAAATAAAATTTTCAAACCATCAGCTGACTTGAAGTAATAGCAAAATGGCATAGAGTAGTTTATGATCTTTATAAAGCATACGAACCGAAGGTTTGCCTGACAGTTTTTGTTTAAATCCATTTACACGCCTGGTTGGAGACGGACATTGTGGATGCAAACCCGAAAGTTATGACACATGCCGGACAAGCTAGGGCGCTAACATAGAACTATGGATCTTAAGCTTTGGTTCTCTGCAATTACTCCAATCGCCATTCTATTTTCTTGTTCGAGATCTAAGTGGAAACCGAACGACACACTCTATAAAAAAATTATATTCAATACGCCTTTCCCTTGATCTTCAATATATTCCAGACAAAAAAAGTCTATTAAATTTTAATTGCAAATTTTAAAATAACGTTTTTGCTAAGAAGAGCTTGGCTGATACACATGCGAGGTCTACGATAAAAATAGAGAGCGCGTTAGATCAGTGAACGATATTCTAATCGATGCCAGCTACCCTGAAATAAAAGATCGAAAAGAAGAGAAACACGCGCTCGGTTGTATCGACTCTTGTCGCCTGAATTAAAATTTTTGAAAAATCGAAGTCCTTGAAACATTGAGTCGCAACACGTGCAAGGTTTAGAACGGACGAAGAAGCACGTGCGATCAGTCGAGGATCTACTTACCAATGCTTATGTTTCGTGATGAAAGATCAGAAAGAAGAAAGGCGCATTGTCGTTTGCATTTTTATGTCTGTGCTTTATGACTTACATACTTCTTTGAACTTTCAGGTTGCCTGGTCAGTTCAGGCTTAAAACACATACATTCAAGAACATAACTTTTGACTTTTTAAGCCGTTTTTTGTTTACTTTGAACAATTTTTGTTCCACGTATGTTGTTAATTGTCTCTGCACATGGTTACCAGATCATACGGGATTAGGTTTTCAATTAAAAAATAAGAGACTTTTGGAGGGGTAAGTCTTAGTCTAGAATTAACAGAACAAAACATTCATCTGAAAGCTCTATGAATGGACGAGTAGGAAATCTATTTTAATTAAAAATATTGATCCAGATTCGTAAATTTATCTTTTATTGCGCAAAGCATCATTTTAGTTCTTTTCAGAAAATCTGTTGAAAGAGTATTAAACGCAGGCACCCATAGGATCGTTTAACCAATTTTTTTTCATTCTTAATTCTACGCCCTCCAACTTTACTACCTGGCTATGGTTACAGCACAGAACATAAAGCAAATAGAGTCGAACCTGTATTTACCGGCACCGAAAAAGCGGTCACATTGTATCAGGAGGTCGGTTGCTAAAGTCCCGAATTTGTTTCCCCGAGATCACCGTCATTTGCACCTCTATGAATCGGTCGCAGTCACCCTTTGCTGAGTCCCAACAGCCTGTGTTCCAACGGCCTGTTTGTATCGTCTTCTATCTGTTCTGAACGTTTAAAGCCGGACAACTCGAATTAAATTGATAATAATCTTTCAAGTAATTTTTAATCCATGTTTGTCGCCCAAAATCAAAATAAGTAGTATTTTCGAGCGAGATTCTGTTCATTAAGTAGTCAGTTATGCCATAAAGTGACATCGTTCATCGTTTTTTATAATGCCCCTAATATGTGGAACCTGCATGTAACGGTCAACCTCTATTAGGAGTCATTACCCGTCAGTGACCTCTAAATACAGGTTCGACCGCATCACAAACTTCTCCTTAGATGAAGTTTGATCAAGGATCTTTTAGTCGAATCACCTTATAGGCATTGCGCAACTTAACCACACCGTCACTCTGAGTGGGTAGCTGGGGTTTAGCAAGTAATTTTAATTCAGTATCATGATTTGACCTGTCCGGTTCAACGGTCATTAATGTCATTAATTTCCCTTCTAAGTTGGTTGAGAAGTTTGTTTAATGAAAGATTCTTGCCTTGTTCCTTGGTTTTCAAAGCTCCCGAGAACACGTGGGCCTACCCATATCAGTCAAACAATTATTTCGTGCTAGTTTTGACAGCCCTGATCGTTGTAAATACTTGTTATTCAAATCAATCCAGCCACAGTTAAAACGATTTTACCAGTACACAATAGCTTGCTGATGAAGAGTAGTTAGCGCCAACCTTATCCGTCAGTCCGGCCATTTTGCATCGAGCCCCAAAACAGCGGCGTGGCCGGCGCTGAGGATGTCATAACATGCATTAAGGCGAAAATTGTCAATAGATTCTGAGAAAGATGCCGGTTAAATCCGTGATCTGAACATTGCTAGCGTGCAGCAAAGTGCCAAAACATATACTTTCCAGAACTATCCTAAAGTTAGAGGTTTTAACTTCAGATGAGATTAAATCTAGCTGAGTCTGTTTTGAGAATGCGTTGAACGAGCTAGCAAAAGTACTAACTGAACATCACCGTAATCCAGGCGCACACAACAGGAAAAAATTCGATATTTCGTGTCTTCAAGGAGGGTTCTAAACGTCACCGTTTTGAAAAGGCTTTGTCGAAATATAAAGAATACAGGAGTCCCTGAGGATCCATTGTAAGTTTAATTTCAATAATTTTCTGTGGAAGAGATGACACTAAACCGGTCCGTAATCACATAAAGATTTACACAGGGAATTAATATCCATATTTCGTTGCGATTTGTCAAACTTTAGAAAACATCAATAAAGTGAACTTTGCCCTTTACCCCCTAGTTCGGAACAGTAGAAGATAGCGCATCTCTTTTTGTTGTGGTCGTATATAACACACTGCGGCAAACAGCTAAAGATTGAATTCACTGCAAATCTAAAATTCAAATGAGCTGAGTAATATTTGTTGTTTAGAGATAGTATAACATTAGCATCTTCGCATTGTTTCCGGAGTACAGCTTAATCGCACTTTCTGGAATATTTTTGTTGCAGTATTTTCGGCACTTATCTGATACACTTCTTTATCGAAAGGAAAATATCCCGTACCGTTTTTATGCCAAAATGCATAAACGTATTGCATCCTGTTCCACTCTTAAGAAGCATATGCATTAGGTACTGTACACAAACCTGACACGTACTTCTACTTTGAGCTTGTACCTTCACAAAAGTGCCTCCATATTTCACATTTGCTTTCTTTTGAGCTAGGCCAAATTCTGGCAATTTTTTTTCAAGTCAATCGAGTCTTCCTAGTAAACTTTATTTAAAACCTATCGGTGCTCGGCTTAGGAAAAAGAAGGATCTTTGTCGATAACCGTATACATCGTATAAATTCACCAGTGAATTACAATTGGCCTGTTATTGTTTCGCGAAACAGTTCCCGGCTCTACATCTGATGAATTGGATGGAATATGTTTTCCGGTCCCTTATCAGATCTCATATCTTCCATTCTCCTTGCGAGCATCTTCTCTAGATCAAGACTAGGTCTTGAGACTTTAAGTTTCTTTTTCAAACTACCTCGATAAATTTTGTTCCTTTTCCTCCTGGCATCCTTGTCACTTTGATCTTTGACCAAGTCTGGTAGCCGAATGGAATGTTCTTCCGCAGCGTCTAAGTTACCATCAGGATTCGCTTCCCAAAATTCGGTTTTGCATGAATAGAGCTCTCGCAGTTCATCGTCACTTGAGCTAGATAAGTCAAATCCTTCGTCGTTATCTCTAAGAGAAATGTAAAACCTATCTTTACAAAGTTTGCTTTCATCTTCCCTTTCCGATGGGTCCTGATTTTGACTTATACCCCGTTTGTTGTTTCGAACTTGAATGATGCGTACCTCACTGACAAGCGGAGGCGATTTCCTGTGAGTTAGACGCGGTAAATTGCGGCTCGCGCCGCGCGGCTTATTCGCTTGGCCAGTGCGTCTTTCAGGTTTGCCTCTTACGGGCGGCCTTTCGCAGATAAACCAAGCTCTATGCTGTTCTGTGAACGCTGCATCTCCAGCGTTGTTGTTTGCAGCAAGCTGCGAACCAGTTTTTTCAGCTCCGTAAACGAAACCCTCTTCGATCCGCTGTCTGCCAAACTTTTCAGTCAGTTTATCGACACGAGTTACATCAGCAACCAGCGCAGCCATGAAAAATCTGCCAGGTCGGTCTGCAGTATTTACTCTTTCATACACACGGTGTGTAGCGATCGCTTCGTCGCATTTCAGGTGGAGAGCGACTCGTTCTTTCAATGCAACTGTGTTGAAAAGACGACTGTCCCGATAGGGAAGCAGTGTGCAAACTTCATGATGTTTTCGTATTGTGGATATGACAATGATAGTATTTGCCATTAATTCAAAAAGAGTGAAGTGATGGACAAAGCGCTTGTTTCTCATTGGACGAGATTATTTCCCCATCTCGTGTTTTAATTACACGCGAAATAATGAACATGAAATTTTAATGGTCAAAATTTTTTATTTTTCTCAGCTAACTCTTAAACCTTTCGAAAACGAACAAGCGGCCTCATAATAAGACTTGGTTTACTTGAGAAATTACAGTGGATTAAAACCACTGAAAATTTTTCCTTTTCATTGGAGATATATGTAATAATATATGACAGTCAGTCATTTTATTAAGACATCCTTTCCGCCGGCTGCCTTAAAATGCCATAAAAGAATAGTAAGGTCGTATTATTTTCTCCGTTTCCTTATTTCAAACGTTGTAATAACATTGAGAACCTCTCTGAAAACGATAACATGATCATGTTGATCGACGTTTGCAAAAAGCCGCTCGCGGAAGGAAATACAAATTGCCTGCATTTACTTTCCTTGTGGCTTAAAAAAAAAAAAAAAAAAAAAAAAAAAAAAAGCGTAGCTGACAATAAGCCACTTGAGGAAAATCCAAGCCCTGGAAAAGCAATGAAAGACGCTTTCTGCGGTTATTTTTTACTACATACGTGGTCATGTCAATTGTGTTTAATTTTTTTCCCGCCATTATTTGACTTGCCTGGCGCCGTTTCATGCTGTTTGAACAGTGTAAAATTGGAGCGCCGCTTGGTTTATTGATAAAGTGGCTATTCACAACCGTAAGATAGATACTTTTGCCATCAAATTTTATCCTACTGTCGCTCGTTCCGAGAGGCCATTACAATTCCTCAAAGGAGAAGAAAGCACTCTCTTCGTTAATCTTCCTTGATGGATATCTTTAATGCCTTGTTCGCTTTGCCGCTAGATGAATCTTCAAGGACTGCCCCGATGTTACAGTTATCACATATCTCTGTTCTTCAAGATCGTGTATAAAATTCCAATCCTCATGGAAGCAATCACTGAAAAAAACCAATATTTTGGAAGTGTTCGAAAATATCCAAATTTGATCCGATAACTTGAGAGACGCTAATGGGTTAAAAGCTTTTAAATAAGTCATAAAACGTTTATTGTAACGACATTCGAAGGAGGGAACTGTTTTGTCAGTGCTTCACTTGAAATGTTATGCCATCATATACCTTTTTAGCTTTCCAAATTGACAAAGAAACTGAATTGTAACGAATGTATTAATGCATTACAGTTGCAACTAAATGCTTTCTGGATGAAGAAAATCAACCGCACCGCTCAGTCAAGACTATCGTTGCCTAAAAGAACAGAAATATTTATAATTTTATTGTTATAACATTTGTGATAGCCGAGTGAATCCACAGAATTAACCGTGAGGGAAATCAGTTTAACACACCAATTTAAGTACAAAAGTGCCTTCGTACTAGCTGTTATCATGTATTGTGAGACTTGAAATCACAAGAGCAATCGAATTTATATATACATACACTGCATGCTGTTGTTTTATATTTCTCTCTTTCGGGTGAATCTTGTTACTGCGATGATCGATTATTTCGGTCTGCCGACATGGATATGGTGTTTATTTTTCCGTGAATTTTCCATTCTCGCGTTTGAAATTCATTCAATTCACTTGGGTCACAATTTTTGCTGAAAGTGGTTCAATCTCAGCGTGATTTCAGTATCACTGGCGCGGAAACTCAATATGCTAAGAAATCTTGCATAACAGGTGCAAAAAAACAACTTGATATTTCAAATAACGACGTGAACTGAATTTCAAGAAAAGATGTTACCCACTGATCCTTCGGCGTTCGCGAAACATGACTTGAGACTTATTTTTTCAGTTTTCGGTTTTTTTTTCTTTTAACGCATTTGACATTCTAGCTCGGAGCGAACTTCAATGGTTGGATCGTTCATGTGTCTCGCGAACGATTATGAAACTTCTTTGATTTGACAAACGCGCTTTAGACCGATGTCGTTAATCGTGAAGGTTGTCAACGAGTAATTATTTAAGGACTCGTTTGTATTGTGAGAAAGGAGCACGATTTTGACGCCCACGTCAGTGGAATCAACAATAAAAATTGCGCAGTTACCTAACCCTTTAAGTTTTACTTTTAAAAAAAAATTAAAACCACAATAACTGACCCGATCTAGACATGCCTGACACTGAAAGAAAGTCAATCTACTCTTATGTCAAGAAATTTAAAATGCCCTTGCAGCTATATTCTTTCGGTGTGTATGCCCCAACTTCGAGGCCTTTAGGGTATTCTAGAAATATGAAACAGAACGATAAGATCACGAGAGCCACACCTAGCTACCTATTAGATACATACAGATCAATACATAAATGATATCTTTAACTGCCCGGAACTCAGGAAACTTGATAAAGTCTGAGAGAGACAGACATCTATTTGTACAATCAACAGCCGTCACCAGTAACCATATTTAAGCCTGTAGAAATGCATATATATGCCTCTGCAATCAGAATGGAAGAACAAGCTTTGGAAGTATTTAATTTTCGCCCAGTTACGGGTTCGCAGAGTAATTAGATTCTACGTTACACGGATGCGCCGAAGTGATCAAATATTGCGCTCTTTTCATTTGAATGGCGCCACTCTGCCGGTCACTTGTAGCACTGTTTATTTTCTTTTGTCTTATTTTTAATTACTGAAGGGGGATGAGAAATCTAATTCAACCACGGAAGACAAGCGATGATAAAGGGCTCTGAGAATTTCTTACAGCGCCTAAAGGAAAAAATATATATATAGATCTGTACGTGTTTTTATGTATGCCTCGTCCAGTTTCCCCTTAAGTCTCTACCGAAAACAGAATCCACTACTCACACTCTTTTCCAAGTTCGAAGAACATTTGCCACTTTTTCACCTATTGCTTCATTACGGCTGTAAGTTTCAGGAATGAATACTGATTTTCCCCTGCATTTTCCAATAACCTAAGTACAGGAAATATAGAATTTCTAAACTCTTAAATTCTTGTATTGACTCAACAATGGGGAAATAATTCGAAGGAGTCTGCTAATGCCAATTTACATGAATGAATTGAATTAACCATTTCAGAGATGGAGGAAAAATAATTTAATACTACCCATGGTACCTCTTATTTTCAGAGGAAATTCTGTATGGAAAAAAAAAAAGCAAAAAGAACAAAAGCCAAAATAACACTTAAACACAGCAACGTCGATCAGGTAAGCTTGCCCCGACTTCTTCATTGGTTGATGAGATCCATAGTCGTGACACGTTTAAGCTAACTGAGGTGGTTAACTGAAGATACAGGTTCTGTAATTTGCTGCTGTGTGCCCTACTTCCAGAGGGCAAGGAAAAGTAGATTCAATGATTATGATTCTAGTGATACAAATACCAATACCTTTAACAAAAATAAAATTAATAATAATTATAAAATAATAATGATAATAATAATAATAATAATAATGATAACAATAGTGCTCCAGTCATCAGGAACTCTTTCCTGTTTTCGTAAGCAAGAATCTTATTAGGTCTGAATATTTTTAACTATTTGGGTTTTAGTATAGTTTTCATAATTTAGGTTAAGTCCTTATCACGCAGTTGGCTACGGCTCACGTGGCCCAACTATAGTGCTAAGGATTTGGGCATCCAGAAGTGTAATAATAATAACACTAGTAATGATAACAATAATAATAATTATAATAATTAAATAATAATAATAATTATAACGATAATAATAATAATAATAATAATAATAATAATAATAATAATAAAAGTAATGGTAATAGGACAGAGCGGGGTTAAATATGGTTTGTAAACGCATAATTAACAGAATCTGAAGACCACGAGACCAGAGTCCGACTTGTAAATTACGAGTATGATTATTCAAGAGATCATAAACTAAGAGAACTTATTCCTGTGCCTACGATAATTTTTTAAAGTCTATTTTAAATTTTGCGCCACCTTGGAAATTATTCTTATCAATACCTTCCATGATAACGCGGTTAACGATCTCGATATCATCTGTCTTTGCGGTTTCCGGTGTTCAAGTTTTAACTTAGTTTTTCTGAACTGTAACCGCTCATTATCGAAACAAATTTATAAATGTTTACGGGCACACAAATGTATAAATCAACTAAAAAATCATGCTTCACTGTAGTTTTAACATTAATTTTTATAGTAAAATCAGTTTCTAAAAATTTATTGATTCGAATAATAATTATGATAATAATAATAATGGCATGAGGCGCTTCTTTATTGCGACCAAACTATATTCATATAATTTTGGCTCACCAGCTTATACTTAATTTCCACCCTACACGATATCTTTAGATATTTTACGCGGCTTAGAAATTGTTTTTGAAAAGAGTGAAACCTCGCAAAATTTGTTTTTTCAAGTAAACATGAATCAAAGAGGGAAGAAGGATAGATTGAACCAAAACAGAACGAGACCGATAAAAGATAAAGAAGATGAATGACTTGAGAGCCCCGGTCTGAATTATTGCAAAGCCGGTTAAGCCTGGACTTAATACAATCAAATGCACATGTGGTGATTTAAAACATCAATATTCACATTCTGTTTAGTGTTCTCAATACCTTTCCCAAGGTGCTGACAAGGAGAATTTGTTCAACAATCTAGTGCCTCTTTAGTTCGTGATCATTTCCTTATTTCTGTGACGTTCAGGGTGATTTGCAAGGGAGCAATAAGATTCCAGTCACGCGCACTCTCAGGGGTCAAAGATATAGGTTTCTTGAACAGGGAAGTGAATATTTTTAATCACGTCTCGTTCTCATTTCCAAACAATGATAAATAGAGGATAATACATGGGCGCGCGTAGGTATGAAATTTCTCTTCGAGTGTTTAAGTAAAAGACGAATTTATAAAAACATATTGACGTTCAAAAATTGGGGAGAATATTTTTCGATTAATCTGCTTTGTCCTACCTGACATTCTATTCAAGGACTTGAGAGAATAAGGAAAAATCTACCATGAGAATCCGAGCATTTCGTTTTCAGCTTGACTGGCAAATTAACAACGTAATTTCCAGATGAGTAGGCTTCCGGACCAAGGCTAAAAACTTTGCTATTGAGCAATTTGGATTTAAGATGATACGTCGTTCTATCATACTTTGTGATACCTACTAGGGTCTACTCGCCCTCCGACCGTCTCTACCATGTTCATTTCAAAGTGCGAGAAGTTTTGTTACCGAGTGCGACAGCTTACTTTATCACAAAGTGCGATGGTCTGTTATTACAAAGTGCGACGATTTTATTACAAAGTTCGACAGGTATTAAAAAGCTTAAGTACGACGATTATTACAAAGTGCAACAGAACATACGTCAGTTGATCAGGGTAGCATTTCCTGCTCACGTTAAGTGGACTATTGGACTGGATAATTAATTTCACTGATCATCAGCTATTATATTACTATATTGATTTATCACCTTTATATCCACTTCTATATTCTGTCTGAATAGTGAATGCAATAATGAATAGGAAAGTATGATGCAATGACACAAGTTCTGAAGAATAAATTTACAAGGTAGCCTGAAGAGGCTAAGTAAGTACATACTCTAAGAATAAGATCGTCAAGTCCTAGTCCAGTCTCTAGTTAAAACGAGACTTTCTCATAAGAAAATAGTGTATTTGAAGCAAGAACAGACTGATATGAGTAGACTGCGGTCACCAACCTTGGCAAAACGTTCTGGTGTATCTTTGCCTGAGAAGAGACTTCAAGCTTCTCTCGGCGCAATTACAAAAACATTTTAAGAATTTCGGGTACTAAATTTGGGAGAAATCTTATTCTACAGATTTCAACACCTCGATAACAAAAGATACACGCTTCTATCTATTTGAGTTGTTACTTTATCTCATTATCACAACAATTGAAGTGAAATGATTGTTTTTAAATTTTGCATGGTTTGGTAAAACGAGGTGCTTGATAAAGTCACGTTCAAATTGCAAATATTGTCGTTTTGCGTATTTCCTGACATGAAAATGCTTGACATCACAAACAAAGCTCAGACAAGGATTTTGATTGGCGTATAAATGTTTAAGACACGATCTGTTCTTCATCGGAAATAAAGGTCTCGACACGTGATTTCGCAATTATAAAGCCACACATCCTCTTCACCTCGGCAGGTATTGCTGTCGATGTCACGAACGAAGTAGCTGAGATGAGAAAATCGAAGAAAGACAGTAAAGTTGCAGACGAAAAGGAGAGCTCAAGGAAGCCGAAGGGACGCCGGGAGAGGTTTTGTAACCCTTTTAAGACTTCGAAGGATGAGGAATATCCTGATGGCAAATACGATCTACCTCTGGTCGATTATCAACCCGTGGCAAACCCCGATAGGACCTTTACGTACGATGATGGCGCTCTGGAAGTCAGCGACACTGGGGTAACCTCTGTGTCACCTCGTGCTCTGAAGATTTTTGAAGCTATTCGTGAAGATGAAGTGGAACTGGTCCTGGAAGAGCTCAGTAACCTGCAAGACACTCACGAGATCGACAAGAAAGATGGCCATGGCTTCGCCCTTATTCATGTTGCAGCACGATACAATTTTAACAGAATCGTCCACACTCTGTTAGATTATGGGGCAGATATAAACATTGGTACCAGTCAGTTTAAGTGGACGCCTCTACACTTAGCCGCCAGGTGTGTTCAAATTGAAATGAAATCCGCAACAGTTAAACTTACGTGCTTTGAATTTAACATTCGTTTTCTTTACATGTCACCCGTTGAACATTTACATACGATCACGAAAAAAATCAAAACTCGTTTCTCTCCTCTGTACTTTGGTCAACATAAAAGATCAAATCGCTGATTTTAGAGATTTAGCACGGGGATGTTTTTTCCTCCACAAACAAACTGTTATATTTCGCTCTAAACGTCGCATCTTTCTGTTTTGAAATATTATTGTTTTGATCTGCTTTGTTTGGTAACGCCATCTTCATATGGCTCACTTTAGGTTTAGTATTTCATGTTATCATGTACTTGTTTTTAAATTTGTATTTCCGTTGAGCTCTGACAGGATAATGTGGGAAGAGTGATCCTTTGGCCAAAGTGTTGATAAAAAAATACTGTATTGTGTGCTTTGTTAAAATTTCTTGACGATCAAAATTTTGACAGATTATGTAAATTTACTGGATATTGGATATGGTTTTGGTTGTGATTAGCATAATGCTGTAACTGAAATAGGCTTAGTGGAAACTATGAACATTTATATGGTCGCTTCAGTTTATAAGGGTCAAACTATGGATATTTCAGAACTGAATCCGTCATACTTTTAAAATATGTTTTTCCTTTCTTTATTTCTCTGGTTTTATTGCCTTGGCCTGAATAATTTTTACGCCTCAGGAATTTTTCGACTGTTCAATAATCTAATCGTTGCTTTTTAAGTTCGCCATTTACAGTCATATAAATTGTCGCTATGCTTGCCGTTCTTCTTGGTATTGGTAATTTTTTCCCACCGATTGTTAGCTTAAGCAAATAACTATTGCAAAGTTAATCCCATCCAAACACAACAGTCAAAAGAAACATCTAAAAATGTCGAAATTGTTTCTTTGACTTTGATAAGTTTGCTCTGATTATAAAGTCATAAAATTAAAGGTGTCACATCTTTAAGACTTTGGAAAATCGTCAAATCCCAGTTGGCTGTGAAATGTTCAGGCAATAAGTATTTAGAAGTGTATTATACTTGTAAATTACATATATGTATTATTATACTTCTTACTATACTTTCACTTTTATGGCACTTATCACACAGGTTCAATGGTCTCTCCACTGTAAACGTTCTTTTGCAACGAGGAGCAGACCCATCCATTAAAGGTATCAAAGGAAGCACCCCACTGCACTTCGCAGCGCTCCGAGGAAACGAAGAGATCGTAAAAGCTCTTCTGGAGCATCCTTCAGTAAAGATTGACGAAAAAGATGGCTCAGGACAAACTGCTTTGCACCTAGCTTGCGGCGAAGGACATAGCAAAGTTTCCCAAGTTCTCATGAATTATGGAGCAGACATTAGGGCAGTTTCGGCGGACCGGTCGACACCCCTCCATAATGCTATTGTACATGGACATTCGCAGATCGCAAGACTTGTATTTAGGCGAGGTAGGGAGATATGTCTTACAATAGTAATACTAATCATAATTATGGTAATAATGATGATAATGATAATGAAGATGATCTCGTTTTTACTAGCCTCAGACAACGATGTTGACACTAACACAAAGGAAATGGTGGACAATGAAGATCTGCAGAATAACACAGTTCTACATTTGGCGGCGTGGAATAATGATGTGATAACCGCTGAACTTTGTCTTGAAAATGGCGCTAACGTCAACTCGAAGAAATGTGACGAAGCTAGTGCACTACATTTGGCTGCAATCCGAGGGAACCTAGAGGTGGCTGAGTTGCTGATATCTCGAGGGGCTTTTGTTAACGTTAAAGACGGAGACTCCAAAACCCCTCTTCACAGGTATGTCCTTGAGAATTACTTGCTTCTCCACATTGTGTTTGCTGTTAGGGCAAGACTTTCCTCAAGCCTAACATTTGGTTCCACAAATGGAGCTGTTTTAAAGTAAAATGCTTGTTATGAATATTTGTTTCTTGAAGAAAGTAGAGAACTGAGTTATTGAAATTTAAGACTTGCCTGCTGCAGTGAGCTGTTAGTCAGTGGGAAGCACTATGTGGATGAGGCTGTGGTGGTGCTACCGAAACAGTCATTCAGTGGGAGTCACAGTAAGCTGACGAGTTTTAAAGGCAACCATTCAGTTACGTAGGTAACATCATGTCATTAGTCGGACGGATCGTCAGCCAGACAGTTGTAGGCATCAAGCTCGATAACTTAAGTTTGTTTCCTGCTAAATTTTGATGACCAATCCATGGCGAATTTACTATTGCTCTGCAGGGCGGCTATGTTCAACCAAACCAAATTTATTGAACTTCTTTTGGCGAAAGATGCCAAGCTAAATGCACGTGATGGCGAAGGCCGCTCGCCATTCCTGAATGCAGTTGCTGCCGGTCACGTTGAAGCAGCCAGGGCTCTCCTCCAACATGGAGCTGACATCTCTGCAACTGATTTGCTCATGAAGACTTGTGTTCACCTCGCGGTAGAGAATGAACGGCTCAAGATGCTTGCTATGCTTTTAGAGACTCGCGCGGGTACTAACAATTTGTCCAAAGCAGATCTGTGGGATAGGGTCCCTTTACACAGTGCTGCCATTACAAAAGACATAAAGGTAAAGAGAACTGCGGTGTAAATGGTTCATGAATAGTCGCAAAGTAGTCTTCTTTCTGTATACACAGTTGATGTCTCTGCTACAGTCATTTATCAAAACAATAATCACGGCCGAATAAATATAGTATATACAAACTCGATCGCCAACCCAAGCTCCAAATATACATTATCCCTTTGTTAACCATTCTCCGCTTTCGACATGGCTGATCCTAGCTGCTGGTAAAATGTTTGCCACATATGAATCGAGTATTTGGCATAGCTCGTCGCGAGTTTCCAGTGACGCATAGATAAGTGAAATAACCATAACATTGGAGGCTCGAAGATTCCAATCCTTATTGAGACCCATACCTTTCTTTTCATTCCTTTAAAAGTAATCTATATTATGTGTTATGTTTAAAGTAAAAGCCCGATGAAATAACTTCTTGATAATGTGTCTATCGTACAGATTCTAGAGCTGATATTATCCAAGCAGAAGCAAATGTCCTACCGAGATGTGAATCAGAAAACCCCTGTCCATCTCGCTGCAGAATCGTCTTCATCTAAACACGTTGACTTGTTAATGAAGCGGATGTGTGGCGTTAACGATCGAGACGACCTTGGGCGAACCCCCCTTCATTGTGCGGCCAGGAAAGGACAGCGGTAACAAAATAATTGATTATTTTTACATCACATTCGGTGTTAAGCGACGTACGGAATTAAAAAGTTTGCGAAAAAGATTTCGTTCAATGCAAGCTATTACAACAGCTACCAGGTGATCAATGTAGTCTTACTGATCTCTAGTTATCGAAATATGAAAAATCATTTCTTACGACATTTTATTTCCACTGGCAATCTGTTTTCTGTGAGTTCTTATTTAGTAATTCCCGATTCTTAAGTTTCTGATGGAGCCACATTCCATTGCCTCTTTCGACTACAGTTTTTTTTTGTTGACATTAAAACGGAGGATTACGTGAGCTTGGATCGCGTAGGATAAGACATGAAAAAAACTACCTATAAATGGAGAGAAACGTAGAAACCCAGTAGATTTTTTTCAATCTCAAGGGTGCAGTCTAATAGAAGTCCAACGATCTAGTGCTAAATTCTCTGTAAGTGACTTTTAACTTAGTGTTACGAATCTTTAGGGGCCTTTGTGGGTATAACCACCAATGAAATAATGCTTTTTGCGTTTTGCTCATTGCCATGTAATTGATTCCATCTTCATAGGAAAGCTTGTATAGTACTCTTGAGTATGGGAGCTGAAATTAACTGTAGAGACAACAATTTCCAAACTCCGTTGATGTTGTCAGTGAAGGGAAACCACGCCAAATGTGCCGAGCTTTTGCTTGACCACAAAGCTTCTGCTGACCTTTGGGACAACGATGGTGACACTGCATTACACATGGCATGCGGGCAGGGGCGTGGAGCTATCGTGGAACTTCTTCTGGACCGCGGAGCAAGCGTAGTGCTATTAAATAATAGAGATCATGCATGTTTGGAAACGGCAGCTAAAGCGGGCTCCTGCGAGGTCGCCATGGTATTTGTGAAGCACAAAAGGTCAGTTTTTTGTCGTTGTAGTGCTTAAAGAAACCATAGATGTGGTGAACTAAATAATACTTTTTTCCGATACACCAATTCCAAATGAGCAACCGGTTACAGAGGTTACAGAGGAACCCCAAAAGACAACCGAATCTCCTTAAATATAACGATTTTTAAATTTTCACCCAAAATATTTGTGTAGTATGGTGTAATAATATTTTTCTGGTTTCCTGACGCATAACTCTTCTATTTAATTGTTTGCTGTTTATCCTTTTAAGGTGGACAGAATTGGAAAATTACAAAACATCAACAGGCCAAGATGCCATGTCACTCCTTGTTGAGAATTTTCCAGATGCAGCTGAAGTTTTGCTCAATCATTGCATGCATCACTCTCCGCGCCTCAACGTTTCCGATCCAGACTTTGCGGTTACGTATAATTTTAAGTATCTGGATCCTGGCCCAAACGTTCAAGATTGCCGTAGAAGATCCAGATTCTCAGCTCTTGAAGCCATGATCAAGCACAATCGGCAGAGGCTCCTTCTTCATCCACTCACGCTGAAGTTCAACCAAAGGAAGTGGAGCACATTAGGAAGATATGTGTTCATCTCCGATTTTTTCACGTACCTCTTATTGATGATACTCATCACTGCATTTATAGTTGTTCAAAGGGAGGGCCAGAATTTCAGACCAGTGAACAGAAAAACCCCAAGGCCAAGGCAACTTAATAACGCGATGGAAGATGATGAAGACGACTACAAGCCTAAACCCTCCGACATTTATCCGACGAAAACGCCTTTTACGCAAGCTGCACCAGTCATAATTATGATATTATCCTTATTCCATATCATTAAAGAATTTTTCCAGATTTATGTTCAACGCTGGAATTACTTTAAGGACGCGTCCAATTACCTTGACTGGATTCTATATTTCTCTGCTGCAATTTTTATGGTTCCCTATCTAACTACTGGAGAAAACCTCGACGACTGGTTTGCAAGCATTTCTGATCCACGCTTACTCTGGACAACTGGAATTTTCGCAATCTTCGTGTGCTACATGAACATGATGCTCTTTCTCAGGAGGTATCGTTTATTTGGCACTTACATCTCAATGTACATTGAAGTGACTAAGACGGTTTTCCAGGTGTTGCTGGTTTTTATTTTTCTCCTCTTTGGGTTTGCCCTGGTGTTCCACATCCTCTTCAAAGAGCAGGTAGGGTGCATCACATTTTTATCTTCTTAAGCAAATTACTGACGTATTTTTCGCAAGCCATGCAATAGTAGCGTGCGAGTGGTTGGGAGTCATTGTTAAAAAAGCGCTCAAGAATAGTCAGATATCACATTATTGGATTGAACTATGATGGTAAAGGAAGAAAATTTTCGGTCGTTGTTGCTGTAAAATACCATCAAAATTTGCTGCCTCAACAAAAAAAACATAAGCAGTAAACATGTCTCGCATCTTATTGCAGACTGGATTTCACACCGTGCAACACTCTTTACTGCGTGTAATGGTTATGATGATTGGGGAGCTGGACTTTGGTTCAATCTTCATTGATTCAATCGGTGAATACAGGAACGATAACAAAGAGCGGCCGTTAAATCCATTTCCACAAGTTGGGTTCTTCTTCATCTTCCTATGTTTGATTTTACTGGCCATTGCACTCATGAATCTCTTGGTAAGAAAACTTGATTCAATAAGTTTTCGATTACACAACAGAATGTCTTTTTGATCTGCAACCTTACCAATATTTGTAAAATCGATGTTTTTTTTGTTGTCATATGTGCATTTGTGTGGTTGTGGCACTGATTCAAGAGCTTATTTCGTTTGGGTGCCAAATGAAAAGAAAGATAATGAAATTGGCCAATCACAGAGAAGGAAAAAAAATCCAGTTGTACTTGAGGTAAAAGCCAGCAAACTGGCTAAAGCGCGGAGTTCTAAGCTTTTCTTTTGTTTTAGGTCGGTTTGGCTGTTGGGGATACTGAGCAAATGAAGAAGTTTGCAACAGTGAGAAGATTGGCCATGCAAATTGAGTATCAAATTGCAATAGAAGAAGCCTATCCTTCCTTCATCATCCGCAGAGTCTACCAGATGGTTTACGTCGAAAAACCAAACAAACACTCGAGACGCAAAAGGTATGAAAGTAGACTAAATTATCACTTCAGTCAATTTTTTTAAACACATGAGTATGATAAAGTTCATTCCGTGACATAGACGACGTCACCAGGTAATATAAATTAAAAGTTGGACTCCGCATTATGTTTAAATGGAATGTACAAGGGTAGCATTAGGCAGCAGCGAAGTGTACGAAATGCGGCGAAGTGCTGCGGTCGAGCAGCGGTTGACCAGCATCTCAATCTGGAAGAAAAGTAATACAGTCTAACCTGTATTAAGCGTTCACCCATGGGATCGGCAGGGTGACTGTTAACACAGGTTGAACGTTGCAGACACGTTTTTTTGTTTTTTTTTTGTTTTTTGTTTTTTTTTAATCGCGATCGTTCAGTAGAGCGTTGAGGAGGACGACACAATAATGAGCAAAGTTGCCAAAGGCAAAGGAAAAACCCGCGGCGAAAATGGAAAAACCGGAAAATGTGCTGAGGAGCAAGACAACAAATCGACCGACAGCTTTCAAAATTACATTCGAGGCGATTGTTCATGTTTTTGTAGCAAGGCATGCAGAAAGAAAAGGAAACCTCGTTTTTAACATTATGTGTGGCAAATTTTGTTTTGATGGCGACTTCTTTGTTCGAAATTTGGACGCCAGCGTGGAGCTCAGCCACTGCCAGTCGCTTTCACGAAGGATTTTTTTCTTTTCTTGCCAGAATGGTACTCTTTCTCTCTTCTTTGGGCCTGTATTTTTTTCTTTTTCACCAAGGACTTTCTTCCGCTTTTGATTTTTCCATGAGCAAAGATTCTGTAAGCAAAGAGCTTCCACGTGTGAATTTTGCGAAGTGCGCGATGTAAACAAAATATGGGAATAGCATTGAAATCGAGCCTCAACATGGGATTCGCCCAGGTCCGAGATTATGACACCTTCTTGATTTATGAACTTTTATTAGAGAATACGTGTTTCTAAATAACTCAGTTGCTTTAAAGATTTCAGGAAAAAATTTATGGAAACGTTAGGTTGAATATTTGATTTCGGTTTAGTCAAATAAAACAAAAATCGATATTTTCGGTCTCTCAAGGTGGGAAGTGACCTTAATACAGGTAAATATGGTTATATGAATGATTATCCAAATTGTTCTGAATTTGAACTCAAAGTACTAACATTGATTCCGGGAGATAAATATGTCATAAATTTGACTTGAGAGATTATTCGTAGTTGTATTTGAGTGGTTCCGCCTTGAGTGACCGCTTAATACAGGTGGAAGACAGTACAAACAGGCCATGGGGGCTCAGTCAAGGGTGACCACGACCGCTTAAAAGAGAAAATTACGGTACTTAAGGGGAAAAAAAATTCGGAACTTTGACGACCGACCACTTAATAACTGGTGCCGCTCAACTCAGGTTCGACTGAATTTCAATTATTTTCATGCTCTTGAAACCAGAATTAATGAGCTATTACGTTGTGGGCCTCAGTGCTGATGTGCAGGGTACCTCTTAACTTGATGTGATGCAGCTTTGCTGGCTGATGCCTGTGGCTTGCCCATAAGATAATAATGATGTCATCAGTCAACCTCGGCTTGCAGAAAAACGATAAATTTAATCTTTGCTCGTTTTCGATTCTTTACAGAGTAATAGACTGGTTATATGCATGGATTGATGAAGCCACTCCAGAGCCAGTTGATGATGAAGACAGCAAGCCAAATGAACTTGCCGTGCTACACGAAGAGATGACGAAGAACAAGAAAAGGATCAAGACGATGATGGAAATGCTAGAAGCACAAAACAATTTGCTTAGAAGTCTAGCACACAGAATAGACCCCAGTTTTGAGCTACCGCAAGGGAATGAGAAGGCCAGGGGAGGACGTCGCATGGATGGTGTGGATGGTCCAGATGGCAAACATGGCCCATCACGTGAAGGAGGAACAGAAAGCGAAGTACCGACGGATGACACAAGCGCAGAATTCACAAGGGAAGACAAGGCATCAAATTCTCTCTTCGAGGGTGGCTTGTAATTCCCGCTTGGTTCAACGCACTCACTGGAGGCAGTTAAAAGCATCAAATGATCACCCAACAACGTGCTAGAAACGGACGGATTAAATAAAAATGGGACTTGTACCAACAACAACCCTCGCCCGAGAACTTTTTGATGTGACAAGAAAAAGCTGTAGGAGTAGTTCCTTTTCAGTGAAAACTTCTCTCATGTCAAAACTTTTGCCAAATGTATTGCTAAAGTGCATCTGTGGTTCCATTTACTGAAACAATCCGATAAAAGCGGTAATGTGTGGACTAGCTGATGGCCTGACACTTATTTCTCCTTTACCTTTGCTTAAAACGATAAGTGTTAAACAGGAATATATTTAAACGGGAGAATACACTCAAGGAGACTTCGTTCCCGTTCATCAACAGAACGACTTTCTGCCGTTACGTGTTTAAATGTTTAGTATAATTTGAATATTTTGTTAGTCATTTTGTAATAATACGTGTAGATTGCGTACAGAGTTGTTACCCATGATTAGCGGTAGATACCCAATGCATATAAATGGTCTCGTAGAAAACCTCGATGAAATCGTGTGAGAATCAGTTAAAGCGTTTTCATATTATGGTTTAGAACGAGTGAACACTTGAACAGTACCGATAGTAACGTTGTTATATTAGAGATGTAACATCCGTTCATTTGTAGTTGAACCAGATAACTATTCTTTGGCCGACCAACCGAACATTTAACTATTCTCAAATACATTATAATTTTTTCCATTATTAATCAAAACTATAACAAAAGTTTCGAACGTGATTGGTTATCACCAACCCGATTTGAACACTGATAGGACAGTGTACGCGTCATGCTTGTAATTGGACAATGAATGATTAACTGTTTTCTTTCTTGCTGGTTAGAATTAGTAAGATTTCTTTCCGAAAACAAATCCGTACGGATTCAAGATCATATCTAGAGAAATATTTTGAGACCTAACGACATAACGACCTAACAAGAATTTCAGCGTCTCTCTGTGAGCATGTGACAGACTTTTATCAGATGGTCGAGGAATTCTACACTTCAAGTCATCAACTTTTCAGTTGTTCTGTCGTGAACTGTTCGTTTTATTTTGCCAATGGAAAATCTATTTCAATCTTTGCGTGGCACAGGGTACGTTATGTTCTTGAATACCAATCAATTAAACGTCTGCAAAATTGTAACGGTCCAATGGCTTTTGGCAGCGATTCTTTTATTGAAACAGCTACAATATTATCCTTTGTTTATTCGCACAAAGGAACCAACAAAGCAGGGTACATTAGAGAGTCATAATGGGGTAATGGCTTTTACGGCTTAAATAAAAGGTTGGCCATTTTTACGCCGAAGGTTAATTTCCGTGACGGTTGACAGAATATTCTTTGCAGCCAACTTTTTTTTACGTATAACGGTTAAAATTTGTCAATTTGTACGCCTAACGGCTGATGTTTTTTGTTCTTTTATGGCTAACGGTTAACCCAGACCCCCGTATTGCCTCTACACTACACGATAACGGGAAAAAGTTCAGGATATTAATGTACCATCAAATTTTGAGTTACCTTCCCTTTTTCAACAAAATCAAACATTACCCAAAATGGCCTCGGCGGAATCCCTTGTCCTGTACCATTTAACTGTACCTCTCCTGAGCAAAGTCAAGCTATATTCCTATGAGTGTAACTCATTTATCAAAATCTTTGACGAAGAATGAATGATAAGTAAATGCACTCGTGATTCATATGGCAAAACCATTTTCAAGTTGATGTTGATCAGAGATGCAGATTATAAGGAAAATGAAAAAAAAAGATGTAAACATAAATAAGTAAAAAATACAATTTTCTCTTACTAACAAAATATAGCGTAACTCGTGAAACTGTGATCTGATTCAAATTGAAAAACTCTCAGTTCAAAAGTGTTTGAGGTAAAATTTCCACACAGCCCCATACTACATTATGCATTCAGTTCTTAGAGAGAGAAAACAATGACATTTTACCGTATTTTAAACAACTTTACGGCCTGATACGTGACACTTAAGAGGTTCTCTTGGTGATTTGTTCTATGCGGGACCTTTCCAGCGTCTAAGGTCGAGTACTATATATAGCCCCAGTCTTTTCAAGGCGGCACAGCGGGTACACTACTAATTGAAATAAACGTTCTTATGTTAATCACGATCACAATGCAAAATAGCTTGAAATCAAAAGCGAACTGACTATATTAACTCTCGCCAACTCGAGGAGAAACAATTAGAATTCCTACGCCTGGAAGCTGGTGATCCAAGAAAACCCGGCAACATTGCTGCGGCTAAGAAATATGTCGATCAAAAATAACCTCCGAAATAAATACCTACTTTCACCGATGGAAGACGAAACCAATGGAAACACTAACGTCGGTGAAGACCGAAAGAAAGCTCCTTTCGTGAGCAAAGAGAGACTAAATTTGGAAATGAGCGAACTTGGAAAGCCAGTTATCTCTCGAGCCACCGGTTTGTTCGAAGCTGTGCGCGATGGTATAGTAAACGTTGTCAGTGAACAGCTCAGCCGAAAGGGAAATGCCAAAACTATTGATAAATTAGATCAGTCGGGACTTGCGATGCTCCATCATGCAGCACGTTATGATCGAGTTCACGTCGCTAAATCGTTGCTGGAGCACCACGCACGTATCGATGTTCTAACCAGAGAAGAAAACCTTACACCGCTTCACATCGCTGCAAGGTAAGTTTCCTTTTCATTTGCAAGAGTATTTGATGAATAATTTTATGAGTCTTGCAAACTGTTCAGAATTATTCATTTCTGTAATTTGAGAAAGTAAGCACTGCTGGGTTTTTTTTGTAATTTCAAATGAGGTCACGCATTTTATAAAAAGTAGATGTGGATTTGCGATTCTTATCAGCATCGAAAGCATACAAGTTAAATCGCAAAATGCACTAAGCATATTACTTTATTCCCAATGTCTATCTTTTATCCAAGAAAGCTCACATTTATAATGCACGCAAGAAACAATAAGAAGACCCGAAATTTATGAAAACAAATTAGTTTCCACTTGAGGTATTGTTGACACGTTTTCGACACTACGTGAAGTGTATGTGCAGCGTTCCAACTTCCTTAGATGCATCCTTGACGACAGCATTTCGCCGTCAAATACTGGTTGCTGAAAGCAATAAATATAGACGAAATTTGCGGCGATCACAAAAGAATTACTTTAATTTGATGCGTTTTAAGTTGATGAACAGATTAAACCGGGGAACAAATACAACGATGGCTATAAAAAAAAATGCTCATTTGTATTATCAACGATCATTAATAGTATTTAAGAAGGTAGATACTAAAGAATATGAATTCCTGCGTTAAAAACAACAAGGAAAAAAACATTGAGACAGTCAAACAAAGCGAAGCACTGGAGCGGAGAAGTTCACAGAGGGAAAAGAATTCCATTTACATCCAGAGTGGAAATATTGCCAAAATCTGTTTGCACATTCGTTTTACTGAACACTTTGTAGTCGTTTGAACTACAAGTGGAAACTTTCAAGACGATTTCAGATTTTGATTTGATTGTTTTTAGTACGATGCTATGCTTGGGGCCTTCAAATGAGACACTTACCTCGTCTGCATTCCAGGCTATTGATCTAATTTTGGTATTTCGACACTTGAAAGTTTATAATAAATTTACCCTCTGGACGTAACGGTATTTACAGTTGTACAGCTTGTTTGGTCTACTTCTTCACAGCGTTCGACCCAGTTACTGTATATTCGGGCTCAGGCGAAATTTATGAACAGTTCGGTTCTGCGTCTTAGATAACTTAGGTCCCAACGACGTAATTAGTATCTCCTACGGGATTAGAATCTTTCGTATGTTATAGTGACAGTTCCTTCTGGGGGGCTACTTATATTACAACCCTGTCAACAAAAATTGTCGTCTCTCTTTCACAGATTCAATTGCACGGCAACCGTTCAGTTGTTGATTGAAAGAGGTGCCAACCCCGCTTTAGCATCAAAAAATGGTAACACGGCGTTACACTTCGCAGCACGCCGAGGGAATGATCAGGTGGCAAAGCTTTTGTTACGTCATTCCAAAGTTGACGTCAATTCGAAGGACTCCTCTCATATGACTCCACTACACTTGGCCTGTGTTAGTGGAAACATGGCCATTTCAAAGATGCTTCTTGAAGAGGGGGCAGATATACGGGCTAAATCGACGGAGCTAATGACCCCTCTTCATACTGCAGTGTACAATGGCAACTCCGCAACAGCTTCTCTTATTTTACAAACTGGTGAGTAGAAAACAGCAACGGCTTTGCGATGGATAGACTGATATAAGGATTCTGCGTTCCTTAGGCTATATTTACTGACACACATACTCGATAAATATTCCATTTAGTTTTTCAAGTCTCCAGCGTCTTAAAACACCTTGTGGGTGACAAGCAAATTTTTTTTTCCAAGAAGTAAACTAGCATAGCAAGATCGTTCACTCAATTTACAATTTACAGTAATTGGTGAACAAAACCCACACGCACACACAAAATTAATTCGACTCGACATCTCGCTAAAAAGGCCATTTCACAAAAAGTCCTTCGGCGCTTATTTCATCTTCCATTGTAACAAACCATTCTATGGTTTGATCAGAAAGCTACATTCTCATCCCAGAATCAACTCCAATTGTTTTTTTTTTTTACTGCAAGCGATAAAGCTGAAGACCTAAAGAGGATATTTACGATTTGAAATTGAGCAAACAGATGACTATAAACGATATGCGATTTAACTTCCTTTTTAAGTATGCGAGTCATTCTCATCGAAACGTATTTCTTTCAGCCACTGAGAGGAGACAAAATATCACTGAGCTTGTGGAAGACCGAGATATAAATAATAACACAGTCTTACATCTAGCAGCTGGAGCAAATGATCTCAAAACAGGGATGGTGTGTCTGCAAAATGGGGCAGACATAAACGCACTCAAATCGAATAATGAGACATCTTTGTACGTGGCAACAGTGAAAGGAAACTTGCAGATGGTAAAATTATTGTTACAGAAAGGAGCTGATGTAAATATTAAAAATGCTGACTCCAAAACTGTTCTTCACAGGTAAACAGATAATTTCTCTTAACTGAGTCTTTGGAGTATCCCATGAAATGTTTATCTCAAGCCGTCTTACATGAAATTGACATCTCGAAAGTGTAATCTTTGGAGGTTCCTGAACCGCAATTTAATTATGAGCACAATGAACTGTCTAATGTGCTTTTTTCTCATCTCTTCTTGTTTGTTGCGCTTGTATATCCATGCCATTTCCACGCGTAATTTGCGATGACGACTCGATCACCTAATCTTCCTAATCATAAAAGTAGCCTGTAATCTGGTTTTAAGAGACTTTTCTGCCGGATGGGAAAGTTTGTCGTCTAGCTTTGCAAGACCTTCAACTGCACCTAAATTAAGTAACTTCAAAAATTGTAAATTCTACAATTTCCATTCCTTGTTTCGATTTCATTTCACGTCCATATTAGTAACTGAAAAGATTTAAGGTCAAGTGATTGTTCAATGCAAAATTGCTTTTAATAGGAAGAATATTTGTGTCCAATTACTTTTTAGGGCGGCTGTGTTCAACCGTGATGACATAATTTCCTTTCTTCTCGATAACGGAGTAGGTTTTGACACACGTGATGCACAAAGCAATACGCCTTTCCTAGATGCAGTAGCGGCTGGTCAGACAAGGTGTGCTCGAGTGCTTCTCCAAAGGGGAGCTGACGTCAAAGCATCTGACATCTTCATGAAGAACTGTATTCACCTGGCAGTGGAGAACGAAAATTTGGAAACACTTCAAATGCTCCTGGAGGAAAATTCTGTTTTATCCAACCTTTACAGGCCAGATGTCAACGAGAGAGTTCCGTTGCATTATGCAGCTACGGTTAAAGACATCAGGGTATGTATGGCAATTGTTATCCAGTTATTCTTTTAATTATCAATCGTGGGCTACTTTTTGAGAGGCCAAATTAGAAAAAAGATACACGTGAAAGCAAGTCTGCAAGAAACTCATTGTAGTCCTTCCGGCTTACCATGTCAGTGGGACAAACGGGAACAAATTTAAATCAGAGAGAAAAACTAAGTCTTAAAACTGCGATGAAACTGCACTCACTTTTCTTCAAACCAGATGATGGGTGCACTTTTGGACAAACAAACAAGGTTCACTTTCCACGATGAAACGCAGCAAACTCCCCTCCACCTTGCTGCTCAGTATGGAATGTATGAACAGGTGGAAGCACTGGCTCGTCGAATAGCCTCTGGACTGAATGACCGGGACGAAAAAGGAAGAACCCCACTTCATTATGCAGTCATGAGTGGTCACAGGTAAAAATAAAAAAAAAAAAAGAAGTAAAAACATGCCCGATTGTTGGGAAGCGATGTGGCTAGAGTTAGAGCACAATATCTTGATATGGAATTCTCACCTGTTTCTATACAATATCGACCATTTAATCTGTCATTCCAAACAGTTAATCAACTTATCCACTTTCTTTTGGACTCTTTCTTGTTTCATGGAGACAAAATTATTTGTGGAGAAAAACCACTTCATAAAAAAAAAAGTTGTTAGATTTTTACTTACACATTTCACCTCGTAACTCCATGCTATCTCTGGAATGTATTTGACAAATAGCCTTTGTGTCTTATTTTAATGCAGGAAAGTTTGTCACACTTTGTTGAAACTTGGAGCGGACGTTAGCACTAAAGACAACAACTCCTGGACACCACTGATGTGGGCGTCAAGCCTGGGCTGGGCAAAATCATGTCAAGAATTGCTCGATATGCAAGCATCTCCGGATGACGTCAACAGTGAGGGTGACACTGCATTGCATATTGCTTGTAAACAAGGTCACATCGGCATTGTAAACTTGCTGATGGAAAATGGGGCAAGTTTAACTGTTTGCAACACCCAGGGGCTCACGTGTTTAGAAGTTGCGGTTCGAACAGGGAACAGCGATGTAGCCATGGCTATGGTAAAAAACTCAAGGTATGCTCTTTCCATTTGCGCTTACAATCATAACCTATTGCTCTTCTCTAGGTATAAACCTTTGGGATTTCTTTAAGTATAAGTTATGCTTATCTAATCGTCTAAGTGGGAAGTTTAGAGAGTATTAATGATCTAGCAGTCGTGAGGGAGTCTTGGTGTTCACACACTCAAGTGGATTTCTTATGCGAAAGCGGTCACCGTGTAGAACTTAAAGGCAGAATTTTGGAGCATCAACATCGACTTTTTTGATAATTGATATCGATAAAAATTGTTCTTTTCCACCAAGGAACAATCCTGCTTAATTTCACTTCTATGTTGGGTAATTTTCCCATCTGACAACTGAGAAATAAACTTTGTACATTTTATTTTAATCAATTTACAAGCGAAGCTAAAGAAGAACTGACTAGACTTGCATAAATTTGCGACTTTCGCAGATGGTCAGAAATAATGGAGCATAAGGACATGCAGGGCCATACACCAATGAGGCTGCTGATAGAGCACTTCCCAGACAGTGCAGAGCTGCTGATGGACAAATGTATCAAGCGATCGGAAATGACAAACACAAACGATCCCCAGTTCTCTGTTACCTATGACTTTCGCCTCCTTGACCCAGGTCCAGATGATCCGGCTTTTGTACACGGGAGGCGTTTTTTCGGACCCATCACCATGGTGAAACATGAACAAAAGAAACTGCTTCTTCACCCACTGACACAGGCGCTCTTGAATCAAAAGTGGTCGAAATTTGGTCGATTTATATACTACTTAAACTTTTTTTCATACTTGATCTTTGTTGGTCTCTACTCGGCTTTCATTATCAACGTAAGGGAATTGCAGACGTTTTCGGACGTCGAAGTTTGCGATGAAGATGAGGAATTTAGTGGAGAGCCTTTGTATTGTGAACCGGCGTCGGATATTTATGAAACAGTGACGGATTTCAGCATAGGATTCTCATATGTAGTATTTGGTATTGCAGTTTTCCATCTTGTAAAAGAGATTTTACAGATTCTGATACAGAGATTTAGGTACTTCACGGATTTAAGCAATCTACTGGAATGGGCGCTGTACGGGACTACCTTCGCTTTCCTGTTGCCATATGTCTTGCCCGATAAAGTCATTGATGATTGGTTCAGGAAAATGACAGATCCTTTCCTTATTTGGCAAGTTGGCGTCACCTCAATATTCCTCTGTTACGCAAACTTGGTTTTGTTTCTCCGTCGGTTTCGTATGTTTGGAATTTACGTCACCATGTTTGTGGAGGTCACAAAGACAGTTTTTAAAGTCCTACTGGTCTTCCTCATCTTTATCTTTGGTTTTACAATTGTTTTCTACGTCCTCTTCAAAGAGCTGGTAAGATAATGCAACACAGACTGATGACATTTTGATTGAGTAATAAAAAGCCAAAGTCAGAGAAATCAAAGAAAGCGAAAAAAAAAAAACCGCAAAGGGACGAATAGAACTTAAAATTCACACAGGCAAAACTAAGAGCCTGTAGGACGAAAATGTGCTAGTTATCAAGAGATAAATGGCTCTCGCTTTGTATCCGATTGTCTGGGAGTTGCTTGAAGTTATTACCTCACTCACTCACCGATTGATTCACTCACTCATCCACTAATTCACTCACTGATTTGTTCATTGATTGATTGATTGATTGACTGATTGATTAACTGACTGATTTATTCATTCAATCATCATCCCTCATTTACCCATTTTGAACACTTGAAGCCTTTCAATCGTTCATTCCTCTGTCATTAATTCAGTCACTTAGTCACTCATAATCCCGCGCTTTCGTTATTCAATTTATCTATTTAACGAAGTATTTCATTTTCGTCTTCCTTTTCACATTATCTCTCTATCCATTTATGTATTTATTTATTCATTCATCTAATATATACTCATTTTCTTGCCACAGGATTCTTTTAAAAATCCAGGTATCGCCTTCATAAAGGTGATAGTGATGATGATTGGAGAGCTTGAATTCGATGACACCTTCGTTGAGACTATTGGAAAAAATACCACGACTGGGGCACGAAAGAATCCCTTTCCTGAAACTTCCTTTATATTCCTTACTTTATTTCTATTTCTGATGGGCATCGTTTTGATGAACCTGTTGGTACGTCTTACTTTCTTTTAATGTCAGTTTTGAAAATCATTTTATTTTTCCCATTTTTTTTTTTCACTTCAGTTTCCTTTGACAATTTCTAAGTAAAATGAAAATTAAAGCGATAAAATCAATGAGCGCTTGTTTGAATCAACGAGCATAGATATCTATAAAGCAACCCGCAAAATTAAAGGCCTTAAACTAAGACTCGAAAGAACTTTATATTAACTAAATGTGATGTTTCGAAAGTCTTTAAATCACTAGAATCAGAAAAGAGCTGTTAAAGTTTTACTCGTTAGAACAATCCATTACTCGAGCTTCAGTGGCGCAGAGTACAAAGTACAGTGAGACTTTCATAGCCTTTACACTTTACCCTTTTACAATTCATAAAAGTGAAGAAAATAAATTGGCGATGATGCGTATCTATTTTACCGTCAACCCGTGTACTTATCTAGCTCCTAAGTAAGACATCCTCGTGGATTTTTCCCCTGTACTTCTACCACAGTGGTCGATTCAGTTTTAGCTTCCGGGCTGAAGATGGAAAAATTCCAACTCTTCCTTGCGTTTTGCTGCTATAACTTTATGTATGCGATTAAAATTCGTGGATTTTTGTGATATATGTGTATTTTTTTTGTTCAGGTTGGTCTTGCTGTGGGAGATATTGATACCATTCAACAGAGTGCCACTCTAAAAAGATTGGCCATGCAAGTTGAGTTTGTAGCAGAGATTGAGCAGAGCTATCCACGGTTCGTCACACGGCGACTATACCATCCAACTGTAATTTTGAGACCTAATCGATCCAGTCGCTTGAGAAGGTATGAGCAATCACACGAACAATCTCGTACGCTCCGACAAATAGAAAAAAGGTTAAGATTAATCCTGGAAAATTCAAATTTTTCTCATCGAACCCTCGGGAAACATTGACATTAAACTATCCCATAACTACAATATCAGCTCAACTGACTTGAAGCTATGGGTTATGTGTGTGACATTGACAATGACACCTGTTTGACTTCCACCACCAAGTTTAGTATTCTATGCTAGCACTATGTTCACTCGTTCAAATTAATAGTAAATGACCGAGGAAAGTTTTCTGTATTTATAATTGTGAAGCCTCTCGCGTGTTTTTCTTCTAAGAAATACAAATACCGCAATTTCAGGTTAATGGCTCTCCTTGGGTTTACAAGGTATGCAAAACCTACCCGTGGCCCTCCTGATAACGAAGAAGAATCTAAGGCCTCCGAGTATACTGAAGTACGAAAGCAGCTCGACAAAACTAAAAAACGCGTCAAGGCGTTGGTGAATGTGGTCGAGGTTCAGAACGCATTATTGCGACGATTGGCCATGAAGATTGATCCCGATGCTGAGATGGAAATAGATGAGGTTAGACCCACTCTGGGTGACGAGCGGGTAGCGTTAGGCGAGGATATGTTCGATGGACAGCCGCCAAATGAGACCACCACTGAAACTCCCCATTTTGAGTCACACATAACGGCTTGCTGATACTTTCAGCTGCTCGCTCAAATTTGCACCACTTGACAGGTCTTGTGGGTATGTTCACTTGCAAAATCGTTGCCGTAATTGGATTTGTGCAACTTGAGTAAACATAATATTCAGCAATTCTGACTCATCAAAAACTCTTCTGTTGGCTCACATGTTAAGGTTAATCATCTGCTACTTGCAATGTCGTTTAAAGAAATAATTGAATTACTGGCTTGGTCAAAGAAAGAAGAGTATCCATGTATAAAAAAGGCCTCAAGAGAACAAGGCAGAGACCTAGGAATGAACTGAAAGAAGAATTGTTTAGATCGTTATTTTAATTCTTCCCACTGTTATGACCACGTCGAGCTTCATATCCGTCTGACTGGCACAGATGTTTAAACCGCTCCAAATGTTTCCCGCGAAATATTTTCCTAGGATAAAAATACAATTTTTTTGGCTGAGACGAAACGCCGCGACAAACTAACAACGAAGTAATTTTTTTACAAGTATTTGACAATTACTATTGTATAAAAAAAAGCAATTATTTTATAACATCGCACTTGGAAATGGTTCTTCAGTAAAGCACATAGACAAAGCTGCTAATGCTCACCTTGTATTCTCAAACTGGTTGTGAATAATCAGTAAGTCGAAATTACCCCTTTTATGTTTATTCGCACGGTTGACTTATAGTTTAGTTTTCATTGATAAATACAAATTTTGTACTTTGGTAGTCTACTAAGCAGGGATGATGTACGATGTTAACAAAAGTCAGTGTCATCGTAAAACAAAGCTTTATTTTTATTAAATTGGCTTTTCTCCGTTGTCAAAAAGGAAAATGTCCCTGTGATATCTATTTTTTTAGAGTAACAGTGCTAAATAGAGTGATTTGAAGGTGGGCGATTATTACCAAGCCTATGTTTTCAACCTTTTATACTACACAGGTAGCTAGTGCTTTTTGCGCGCGCTGAATGGCTAATTCGGAAGTAAATAGCAAGTACTTTTCGCCTCCGAGCAGCCGAGGAAATATTAATAGTGCGTCAAGAGTTTCAATTCCGACCATTTTTCGGTATATTGAACGACATAAACTATTTTTAGGTATTTGTGTGATATATACTAAAACAATTAAAACTTGAGTGTCGGTAAAAGAGGTGAATATCCACAATTTTTTACCTTGTTAATTTTATCAGTGCTGGGATGAAGCATGTTTGCAGTGAGTTATTTTTCCTTTTTTGTAAAAATTATCCCTTTGTTAAATCGTTTTGTAGAAAAAGAAGGGCTAAGGCTAATTTAAATAAAAGCGATTAATTCCCCTGGTTCTGTCTACTTGTTTTTTAGTTGGTTGGTTTGTTTAATTGTTTTTATGACTGTTTCCTGTCGCCCGGCTGTTGCTACGTAATTGAAAATGGATTTCCCAGCATTCTTTGCTTGACCATTGTTTGATATTCAATAGATTACTTTTTGAACGAGATTCGTCTCGTCTCCGAGTCATAATAGAGCAACCACAGCAACGGCGTCTTAGAGCAATGATCTTTATGTCAGGAATTAAAGTAAATGAGGCATATCCATGAGTTTAGAGTAAAACAAAACAAGTAAATCTGAGTGGATTCACCAAAACATACCCCCCCCCCCCCCACACACACACACACACAACAGCCGCAAGGCATGAGCATTACTATCAATATGGGGGACGGTCCAAAACAACAATAGGCTGAAAAGACCTCTCCAAAGATGTCCACTTTTTACTCCTTGACTGATGAGTCAAAAGCCTTCCCTTCCCACCCCTAAGCTTTTGATATAGACCCACTTGCAATCCACGCTCAAATGGGCCATTGGCTAGGCTGCATGTAGGTACTAGCTTTGCGTTTTAATAAGAGAAATAGAGATCTGCCACTATCCATCTCCACATCGTTGAATAATTGTTAATCATCGGGTATTGTGGGGCTAAAATGTATTATAGTTCGCTCTCAAGCGCGCATGATTATTCAACCTGTTTGCCCTCATTTTGTCTTTCAGTTTTTACTTTGCCAATTCCCTCATAAGTGATAATTATAGCAATATAGTTTAAAAATAGTACTAGTTCAATAACAGTATATATTCGCTTTGTCAAAGGGCTAACGCTAGAAACGTTAGCTTTGAAGCTCTTTACAGTGGCCAATTTACATCACCAACTCAGTTGATAAAACCAAAATAATCTTGTTATACTCCCTCTCAGACGCAGCACAACAGTTTTCTTTAGAAACTTACCCCTTCATGTTATTATGGCCCGACTCTGAGGGGGGCCAAAACATATTTATGCAGGCTAAAACAAACTATATTATCATATGAAACGAAAACGTCACTGCCAGTATAAAAATTTGAGGCACGCGGTATTTAGAATGAGAACTCTACGCTGACATTGATGCAGATTAAGTTCATTATTATTTGTGACAACTTTATGAAGGAAGGAAAACACTTCAAAGAGATTACAACAACGAAGAATTTAATCTCCATGCTGAGGTGCACCTCTTACAACTAAAAAAACAGAACAATTGTAAAATATAAAATTGAATCTGTAGGGAACAAATGTAGGCTAAGAATGAAATCATTTAATTGAAACAAAGTAATTAATCTGGTGGTCATATTAACGCGTAGCGTCGTAGGCGGAGTGACGTTCGTATTGTATTGTAATAAATTGTGTCATCTCATGCTAATTTCAGGTTTGTTGAAATAAGTTCCGGTTCATTTCTCTTTAAATATTACTATGCCGGAAACGTAAAATGTTGTAATTCAGTGCAGTCTTAAAGATAGACCTTTCCATTGGGTATGGTGAGGCTGCACGATGAATTCCACGACGACGTTCGAGTACACCGACTCGCCTTTCTTGGGTCGACATAACACAGCAGTCAGCAAAGCGGACTTACTTGAAGGCGACTTCGAACTCACGCAGTTCAAGTTAGCGGCCCCATCAGATCGCACGCAAGAAATCCGCGAAATCATCCAAGACGGGAAAGTAGCCGAATTGAAAGATTATCTGTCGGAGAATAAGAACGTTAAGCTGATAAACGATTTGGATGACCATGGTTTCTCTCTGCTACATCTATCAGCGCGATGGAATCGAGTCGAGATGACACGAATATTGATCGATCATGGAGCTGAAGTCGACATTCGTTTAAAAAATTCATCAACACCCTTACATGTTGCCGCGAGGTAAGAAAAAGCATTGTGATTGATTTGAAGAACAGGTGATATTATTGATTCGAATTGTTTGAACAGTTTGAATTGCAATTCATGTAGATTTGATCTTAGTTATTATTAGAGAGCACCTTTCACGGTTGAACTTTTGATTCATTTTCATAACAGTGACAAAACCTATCAGTCCCGAAGCAGATTTTTTAGAAGTAGAAAGGGATCCGTCTTCGGAAAGTATCTGAGGATAAATCTTTTTTCCATTAGTAGAGCTCATTCGTGACTCAGAGCGATATCTACAATGATTATCTAAAAGAACCCAGGCATGAATGAAAACAGAATGGTTCTCTTAACAACATTCTTTTAATATGTTGATTTTTTTCATCCTAAAAACCGTTTATTAAAACATGTTCCGTAGTAATTAAGTACTATAAAGGGTGAGAGTGCCATCCACAGTCTAATTTACTTCTCATTACTATTCAAAGCCAAGTTAACTTGTCAGCGAACGCAGAGTACTCCCAACATTTTCCTGTATGCCTTACATAGATTGAGGGTCACGTCACCTAAATTAAGAATAACATACACTCAATTAATGAATCATTCACAATTTTTTTTGGAATGAGCCAAAAACAAAAGAAATAAATGAAATCAATAAAAATCTGAGTTCTCCAGAATGATTCGAATCGTTGGGTCACTTCCGATTTCTTCAGATCGGAATCTAACAAAAAAAAAATATGGATCAGAAATCGCATGATCATAACTTCATTTCATTACACTGATGTTTTTAGACGTTCTCATAATACGAGCCATAGATAAGTGCAATTTTAGAACCTTACAAAACTTAATAAGTAACCACGTGAAAACAATTTTTTGCATGGCTACCTATCCTCCAAATTCCACTCGTGCTTCTGTGAAGCGACGTAAACGTGGGAAATGTCCTTCAATATAGCTCATACTGGTTTCTCCTTCATAAATGGCCATTTGTAGGTTTAACTGCCCTGAAGTTGCTGAAGTTCTCCTCAGTTCCGGCGCCCGCCCATCACTAGTTGACTCTTTGAACAACAACGCCCTGCATCACGCAGTGCGAAGACGCAATAAAGAAATGGTGTACATGCTGGTGCGAGACACAGATATCGACGTAAACACCAAGACACAGGTTGGGCTGACTGCCTTGCATCTAGTCTGCATCAACGGTGATAAAGAAATTTGCCAAACCTTGCTGCGTCACGGGGCGGACATTACAGCGAAGACCGCTGAACTTAGCACCCCATTGCAAGTTGCTATATTCAGTTGTAACACAAGTCTTGCGGAGATGCTGATTAAACAAGGTTGGCTTGAAACCCTTTTTTCGTTATGTAGCAATTTTAGACTGCGTGTAGATAGAAGCCTAAAGTAAAGTTTCCAGTTTGATGCTCTGTAACACCGTTTTGTGAGAAGTCATATTAAGCAAAGCTTTTCCCACGAACAAGCTACAGGAAATCATTTTGAAGAAGTCTGTTCACAGACCTTTTGAATGAATTTTTTCTTTGATAATCGTCTTGAGTGCAAGCGAGATAAGAGCCGTAGGGGATTTATACAATCTCTCAAAGGCATTTCCCTTCCAATATTGGAAAGGCGGAAGAGCCGTGAGGACGAAGTCTATCACGTTTTCCATCCCCTTTAAATCAGAGAGTATCTCAGACCACTATACACACACAAGGATCCACAAGGATCACAGTCACCTTATTATGGTATTTTTGTCCTTTTTAGCTTCATCGCAACTCCTTGATGTTAAAGAATTTCTCAATGAGCCTGATGTGGACCAGGATTGCGCTTTGCATTTGGCGGCGGAAAGTAGAAACGTGAAGTCGGTGGAACTGTGTTTAAAATACGGCGCTAACGTCAACGCTCAGAGAAGTAGCTTGATGACACCCCTTCATATTGCATCAATGAGAGGTGACCTAGAGATAGTGAAAATTCTGTGTGGAAAAGGAGCTGACATACACATAAAAGACAACGAGAAGAAAACTTCATTACATAGGTAGGATACTCGAGTGACGCACCGCGTCCTACCAAAACTTTCGTCAAGCTTGGTATTGATTACGTCGTCCTCAAACAGCATATTCTCTTCATCTCAAGAAAAATTAACTTGATCTGTAAAAGGTGGTACTCGACACGCGCAATCGTTTATCTAACTGAGACCAATTGTAATAACGTGTTGAAATTTTCTTTTCCTTCCCGTGTGATTATGTTCTCCTTTTTTCAACTGCTTTACTTCTTTACCTCCATAACCCATGCGTATTCATAAGACTTTCATTACTTAGGCTAAAAATTAAAAAGTGGAATGCTCTTTTCTTACGCATGTGTATCCCTTTATCGTAACACAGGGCAGCCTATGAGAATCGTACCGAGGTTATCAAGTTCCTCATCAGTTTGGGCGCCCCACTTGACAGTAAAGCCAATGACAATCGCACGCCTTTCCTAGAGGCAGTGGTTGCTGGCAGTGTGGAAAGCGCTCGGCTCCTCCTTGATTCTGGTGCAGACGCGTTCGCTAGCACGTCAGAAATGAAGAACTGCCTACATCTGGCGGTCGACAATGGCCATCTGGAAATGGTACAACTTCTTCTGGAGAATAAGAAAGCTAAAGAAAATCTATACAAGTCAGACACATTTGAACGAGTTCCTCTTCACAATGCAGCTATTTATCCTGATATTAAGGTATTCTGGTTCGGTTAAAGTCCAGTAACTAACAATAAAAGCTGTTTACAAGATCCTTAAGAGACTCGCAAGTTTGAGAAAGGCAGTGAGCATGATTTCCTGTTCTGCTTATTTTCGGCGCTAATTTTTCCACCCATCCTGGTTCCAGAGATCTCATTACATCTCAGTTCAACCAAAGTGGATGAACTTAAGTCATCGAAAAGTTTACCATGAGAGAGGGCAAGTTTTCATCAAAAATTGCCCACCCTTTTCCACTCTTCTCGCTTCGTGATCTAAATATGCTATAACTAAAAAGAAAATAAATATTGACCCTACTTTTTAGGTACGGTTCACATCAAATTAACAGCCTACGTAAAATATACGATATAACTGCTTCTTTACTCAATTGCATTTTAGACCATCATTGAGAAAATGTTTATTACGTTTTCAGATTCTGGAACTCCTATTAACTAAGTATTCCCGAGCGTGTTTTCAAGACCAACTTCAGCAGACACCACTTCATCTTTCTGCTCAAAGCGGCCGATTCGCACATATCGAGGCCTTGGGTAGAGCCATGGCCGGCATCAATGAAAGAGATGATGATGGAATGACACCCATTCACTTAGCGGCAATGAAAGGAAACAGGTAAAAACGACCCTGAACAATCGTCTTTGCAATGGCCTAATTCAAGAAGACAAGAAGAACTACAGCGAAAGTAAGGTTAAGGATATTCGTTTAGAGTGATGATGACCATTATATCGGTCTGGAGGTAAACAATCTAGTAGCTTATTTTTTGTCTTGGTTATTTAGAGATGATGGGCCAGTCTTTTCTTATTCATGGCCAGTAAATGTTTTCCTCGCTTGCCAGCAAACTGACGGGGAAGGTCAATAATTCCACCAAATGACTACGTGAAGATAATTAGTTTTAATATGGAAACTCGATCGAGTTCTTTCTAATTTGTATAAAAGCTACTCGGATGAATTTTCGGACCATGGTTTGGGAGTTGCTTGTGGGATGAGAAGTTGATACTTGTGGCCTTGTAGGTTCCGCGCGTTTGGTATAGACTTTGATGTTTTTGTTTCTCCTGTTAAAACAGGAAGGCCTGTCAGGTACTTGTTCGCCTCGGTGCTGATGTCAACGCGAGGGACAACGATCGCTGGTCACCTTTGATGTGGGCAGCGAGATCAGGATGTGAAAAAACCTCCCAGGAGCTCATAAAAAAGAAAGCTGTTCTTGATCACTTCAACAATTCGGGAAACACTCCTTTGCACATTGCATCATCGTATGGCAATGTCAGAGTGATGGAACTGCTGTTAAGTTCTGGTGCCAAGGTGTGCGTGCAAAATAATCTGGGGCAGACATGTCTAGATGTGGCAGTGCGTTCTGGTGCAGGTGATGTGGCTCTAATGATGGCTCAGCACCGAAGGTTGGTAGTAACATCCGCAGGCAATCACCTTTCGTAAGATACTGAACAACCCTGCTAAGGGAATCCTTCCCCAACGTGCAACGAATATGCCTTATCACAAGGAACATGATCATGATGGCAGGCGTAGTGACTACAATAAAGAAAAAAAGATGGAAACGTTTTTCTAACTCTCTCCATTACTATTTTTCACCAGATGGCGAGAAATTCTGGATTGTCGCAGCCCAAACCACAACTCACCCATGAAAATATTGATAGAACATTTCCCTGAGGCTGCCAGTCTTGTCATGGATCATTGTATCAAACGCTCGTCTCACATTCGAACAGATCCGAACTACACAGAGTCTTACGATTTCCATCTTCTCGACCCGGGTCCTGATGACGAGGCAGACCTAAATGGAAACCGTTTCTTCGGTCCCAAGACGATGGTAAAATTTAACCGTGAAGATCTTCTTCTGCATCCCCTAACGCAGAAACTATTAGATGTAAAATGGGCTTCATTCGGAAGATATATATACTACTTCAATCTCATAGCCTATTTGGTATTCCTGATAACGTATACCATATTCATTGTCACGGAAAGAGAAGCTCAAGATTTCAATCCACGTAAAAGCGAGAATGGAACTGAGAAAGTAAAAGCGTCAGAGATTTTTACCAGGGCAACTGCTTTTAATGGGGCGGTGTTGTTCGTCGCTTTGATATTTGCAGCTGTCCACATTGCCAAAGAAATTTTTCAGCTCTTCGTCCAAAGGCGTCGTTACTTCACCGACGCTTCAAACATGACAGAATGGGCTCTGTACTTGTCAACACTCCTTTTCATATTGCCTTACTTATTGAGACCCGAAGAATTAGACGAATCTCTCGGCAGCTTCAAAAATCCACGGAATTTATGGATTGCTGGAATTATCTCCATCTTCCTGTGCTACGTTAATGTGATTTTATTCCTGAGACGATTTCAACCTTTTGGAATTTACGTTTCTATGTTTTTAGAGGTCTTCAAGACAGTGGCAAGAGTGTTTGTGGTCTTCTTCATATTCATCATTGCATTCGCCATAGTCTTCTTTATCCTCTTTAAAGAGCAGGTACAAGACATAAAGCTTGTTCGAGGTTAAAAAACTGAAAGGGTAAATGCCATGCATTACCTTTCTATAGGTTACAATTCCGGATCAGTCAAGTCAGTCGCTCGAGTTTCAAAACAAGTCACATATAGATAAATGTAGCAAAGCCAAAGCTATAATTGAATGCTTCATGATTCAAAACCAATCCTATTTTAATTGCATTGCAGGAATCGTTTAGTACACTTGGGTTGTCCATCGTCAAAGTGTCCGTTATGATGGTGGGGGAGTTTGAGTACGATACTGCGTTCATAAGTAGCATCGACGCCAGTAATGACGAAACAAGAAATCCTCTGAATCCATTTCCAGAGATAGCACTCATCTTCATGTTCGCCTTTCTCTTCCTAATGGCGATTATACTTATGAACCTCCTGGTAAGAAAGTAGTGCTCTGTAATCTCTTAATAGTGCAGGCCATGTTTTAACGCCGTCCAACTTTTCTGAAGACCCTTATTTGCCAAAAATCTTTGACTCTCGAAGCGGAATACACGGTTGTCTATGATCCAGCCGCCTGAATTCCAGATCAATATGTCCAGGTTCGAGTTGTGAGCGGATCATGGTGGCTTGCTCTCAGGAAAGACTACGTTAAAGATGTGTTATCCCTCTCAGTCAAGTTATCGAATTGCTGGACTACGATTGAACTACAATTGAAGCTTCTTTATCACTCTTTATCCTACAGACATTAAAATAAGCGTCTTCTTTAACGACTCAACATGTTTGTCAAGCTTATCCCTTTAACTCCCAGAAGTGACTAATATGTAATTTCTCCCTACAATTTCCACACTACTTTTAGCAACCGGTTAATGAGAAAAGTCATACTTATCCGGTAGAAGTTGCTATCTTGAGCTTTCACCAAATTTCGCAACTAATTTACAAGGAATTATGTAGCTGCAAGAGGGGAGAATTAACAATCAGATCTTGGGAGTTAAAGGGTTAACCCTTGATTGAGAACTTCTTTCATTTGTCTCTCAGGTTGGTTTAGCGGTGGGTGATATCGAATCTGTGCAAAGGACCGCCACCCTTCAGCGCATGGCAATGCAGGTTTCCTTTGTGGCCGAAGTCGAAAACAAGTACCCAAGATTTATTACGCGTAGAATTTACAAGCCATCACTGGAGATAAAACCAAACGTATATAGAGGCAAATTTAAGTTAGTCATTCGTTATGTTTCATTTTATCACTTGCACAAAAAATTTCCTCCAGAGTTGTTTAACTGTGTGATCATGACAAAACATTTTCTTTCTTTCTTTCCTTGTTTATCAGGAGATTTCACGCCTGGTTGAAAGGCCAAGGGAGACTTTTCGACGAATCCTCATCCTTAACGTCTTCAGCAGCGATGACAGAAACGACCATATCCGACATTCAACAGCAAGTAAGCAAGACAAAGAAACGTGTGAAGACCTTGATACGAACAGTGGAACTTCAAAATCGACTGTTAGCGACCATCGCCAGACAAATGAATTTAAATGTCGAAATGGACGACTTGAATGTTGGACACTGGGTAAAGCCGCAATCGACATATGACGAGAAAAGTGAGGAGGAAAAAGACGACACTGTATATCATTTGGCAAGACTGTAGCCTGTCAAGCGCTTTGCTAGTGATGAATAAATCAGTGCTTCAAAATAATCGTTTTAATGCTCTAATCCACCTGCACGGAATTGACACATTTCCCGATTCTGAAAGGTGGTAGTTTATTTAGCCTGGTGCAAACAGCGGATGAGAGATAGGTCTGATTTAGAAAGCCTTCCCCCAATCTTGAGACGTAATAAAATAATTACATATTTTCCATTTCAATTTTTTAAACATTCACATCGCACAATTACTTTGGTACTTCACAAAATTTCTTGTTCAGTCGTTTTCGCTGTCATTTAGAACGGTTTCTTTGCGTCAAGATTTTCAGCAACAAGTGGAGTTGTCAATTACAAATTATGAACTTAAACCAAAAACGAGAAAAGTTAACACTGACGTTGAGACATCATGAAGAACATTTCACGACTAACCCCAAGGCAAATGACAAACATCAAATTTCTCTTTACATTATCAATGAATCAAACATTAAGGAACACGAGAATAAGGGAAATGATCGCCAGCTTTAGGAGCTCCTGATTGTCAAACAAATTCTCCCTGCCGGTAACATGGGTAATATACAGAGAGCAAGGAGAGAATATGTATTTGAAAATAAGGGGGTAAAATATCAGGAAACACTTAGCGCACTCGAGTGTACTTTTCAAGCTGGTGAAATGAATTCAAATTTTGTTTATAATAATAATGATGATGATGATATAAAGTTGATGATATAAAGTTAATGCCTCAGTTAATGCCCCAATAGGAGGTGCATTATGCAATAATTCATTGATAAACGGAGCTGAAGTATTTGTCAATCAAATAATACTCCATCATTACTTAAACATCAGCTTGATGACAAGGTGGTTCTCGCTGAACGTGCCATCAGCCACCCTCCCCTCTCCTTCCCTCTCTCTCGGTTTCTTGCGAAATTGTTTTCACACTCCTACACCCCTTTTTATTTCCTCTGCCAGCTCTGGGGCAATTTAAAGCTTCATTAGAGGGTTAGGGTAAGGGAATGGATGGGAATAAGAATGGAATGATCGTTATCAAGCATTCAACAATCAAAATAAATTTAAGAGAGAGATCGGGGTTTGCAATTAGTCGTAACAATGGCTGAGTTCCGGAAGTTGTAATTTTTAGTCAATTCTTTATTGTGATGTGCTCCAGCAGACATACCACTCCTAGCTAACTATACTGCTTATAGGAGTTATAGGCTCCTGAATTGTTCAGCACATCATTTGTCATAATAAGAATCGCATCACATAACTTGTCATAATCACTCAGCTCATTATAAACATGAGCAGAAATCCTAGTATGTAGTTTCCCTTGGATCAGTTTGACAGGAACCTCAATATTGAATTCATAATGAAGCTTGGCTTGCACCATTTCTGCATGAGCTTTCACAGCTTCCTCCTTTCCACCCTGTGTGACACAGTTCAGCAGTACCTCAGGGAGACGAATCATCACCATTGGACCAAACATGTGGGCATGAGAGAGCAAGCCTGTGCCCCATTTCTGTGCCAGCATGGTAGCAGCTTTGTGAGCTAATGTGTTGTTGAATTTGCGAATTCTCTCAGGGCCCATGGCCACCCAAAAGTCTAACACTAAGGGGTAGAACAGAGGTGGGAGGTATCTTTTTCATTTATGTTCTTGGTCAAAATGTAGATTTTATAACTGATACTGCTGATTGGACTGTAAATTAAAGGCCATTACCACCAAAACAATTTCACATATAACCACAGTGGAAGGTTTCCCTCTGGGTCTGATTTTTGCATTTTTTTTTTTGGTTCAAAGAAGCCAAACATGCAATATTTCATTACTCTAAGATACTTCACACCACATTCCCTGGAAACACCCAACATTTAGATCACCTAAAATGAACATGTAATCTACAGAAAGAAATTATGTGTTCAACAGCCAAACCCAGGAAATACTTGAACAGCAGGTACTTTTTGTAAGGCAAGTAGTTTAGCACTGCATGACAATTGTTCATTGAGAACAAGAGTAATACACACAAGGTAGGAGCAGGTAAGTGTCATGGAAAGCTCTTCTTTGTCTCTCCCACATGATTTTTCACCCTTTGTTTGCCAGTCCAAATTGTTCACACCTTGACATGTCTCAAACATTTCTCCTCAAGCCGACTATTTCAGTGCGAATGTCTTCCTTTCTAATAACCAAATCAGTGAAAGATGGCCAGAAAGGATAAGTTGGAATAAGTTGGAAATGTTACATAATAACTATGTGAATCCTAAAATAATGTATAAATTAATTGCACCTGAATTGATCATTTAATACAAAAAAATAAGTTTAATTCTGAGGTAAAAAGGAGGGCTGCAGTTAAGTTTGTTTAAAGAAAACCCATAATTTACATTGAAATTGACCAGTTACACATCATTGTTGTAATACTCCAACAGATGCTAAAAAGAACTTCTCTTATTCAAAGTAAGATTTGGAAAAACTATTTTTAACAGATAAAAATTTAAATCATTGCTCTCACCAGTATTTAAAGCCAAGTAGGGACTGTAATCTCTCAAACCTGTTGAAGAAAAGAAAAATTTATGGGAAAATTTTCACCACTTTTAACTCTGAGGTGGTAGAAGTTGAGGGAATGAGAAAACACTCTGATAGTTTGACTTTTTATTTTGTTTGTGATTTCTGATTGCTTCATTTTGTTGTTTTTTTTAAGTGATAAGAGATGTTCTCCTTTTCTGCCCATGTGGGAGGCAATTTCATCACAAGGTATGCATTCTCCCTCCCACCTTACCCTAACATTTTGTCTGGTTTCTCTGACAGTTAACTGGAACACATTTTCAACTATTCTTAAGGGAATGAAACGCTGAATAGCCTGGACATATTCATCCAGAGACAATCGCTTTCAATGAAGGGATGCCACATCTCTCTCTTCCAATCCACAAGTAAAAAAAATCATCATGATGATAATTTGGGGTTTTTCAACAAAAGTTATACCTGTCCATATGAACTGTGAGTTAAATCCTGCTCCAAAACCACTTGAAACCACAAGAGGTTTGATCATTGGCTGATGCTTTTTAGAAACATGCAAGAATGCACAACCCTGCAAGAGAAGAAAGTGAATTCATTTTTTTTAAAATAACAACAGTGATAAACTGTAAGGTAAGGAAGAAGAGAAAGAGAAAGAAGAGGAGGAGATGGAAAATGTCTTAGAAAAAGACCCGGTTGGAATGGAAAGCAAAAGTATAACCAGCTAACCAACAATGAATATAAAGAGGAAGGTGACTAGGGAGACAAGAACATGGACTGTTGCAACAACTATAACGATGATGATGACAACCACATCAAGGATAATGACAGTGATGATGATGGTGACAATGAAGGATCATATCACCTAAAACAGAAGAAAAGAATGAGGCTTATGTGAATTGAGCTGGCTCATATTCACTTCTGTCTCATTATTCATATGAGGAGTCTCACTTAACTAACCACAGACCTTGTTGCTTTATATGTAAAGAAGAGATAGCAACTTTGAAGTGTTCACCTCTCAAGAAACTGGAACCCACTTTTTTCCTACACAGGTAGGAAAAAGCACAGCATACATTTATAACAAAGCAGACAACAAAAATACCTTGGGGTATGCAAGAATACCTTGGGGCATGCAAGCCACTTGTGTGCATTTGCCACATAATAATCAGCCTTAAGAACACTCAAGTCTAATGGCAGGGTTCCAAGAGCATGAGCACCATCAATTAAAACTGGAACACCTTTGCTATGGCACAGTTTCACCATTTCTTCCACCGGCATAATAACAGGATAGTTACTAGGTATATGACCAAACAAAGCCAGTCTTGTACCTGCTTCCAGGGTATCCTTTATTGTTTTTAGGATTTCCTCTTTGGTGGCAGGAAATGTGATTGTAGTTTCCTTTAAAATAACACCTGAAAGTAAATCTCTGTGGTTAGTCCATGCAGTTTGAAGAGAGTTTCTCAAAGAATCCTTTTGAACTATCACCTCCCCCTTTCCCACCCAAATCCCCTTCTTTGCAGCACCATGTTATTGGGCCCCACTCTGGTCTCTACTTTTGTGTAAGGCATGGTGATCTGTTTCAAAGCAAGGAAATTCCCAGTCTAGTAGGGTAAGCAAGACTATGGTGCAGCGATGCTGTAGCATTGCAAATTTTCAGAGACAATTTGCTCTGACCAAAGCTCAACATTTGAAACATCAGCCTTAAAAACTTTTTATGGAGGCCAATTAACATTACTAACCCAGTTGATAAAACCAGATCATTTCATTTCCTAGAGGGTTGCAAAAACATTTCTCCATGATAAATAAAATTTCCTAACATTTCCAGCTAGAAAATGGCTGAGACCAAAATAGCAATTTTTCAGCTTCTCTGGATCTCTGAGATGGCCTTTGACACAATCAAAGAATACAGGACCAGTAAGGTCCATCTCGTCAGAATTATTATGATTCAATGAGATGAAAAAAGTAGCCCTCTATAATTTTTCAAATATCTGTGTTCACTTACCGTAGGCGCTACTAAGATGCCTGAATAATTTCTTAACAGTATAGTAACAAGTGTTCAAGTAATACACGGTATCTCCGGGACGCCATTCGATGGATCTAATCACGGTATTGATGCCAGCAGTTGCGTTCGGTACAAGAACAACATCACGTGGTTCTGCACCAACAAACTTAGCCAATCGACGGTTGACATGGGCTAACAGTGGCAACATTTCTCGATCAAAAAATCGCACAGGCTGCTGTTCCACGTAGCACTGCCACTTATAAGCTGTTTCCAGACCCTCTTTTAAGACACATCCAAAAGCACCGTGATTCAAGAACGTCCAGTTGTCCAGATCCAACAAGAAGTGTTTTCGCATTTCATTCCCAAATGGGGTCGATCGGTCAAACTTGGGAAGCTCAAGGGGAAACTTTGGTGGCACGTATCTATCATCAGGAGTGCTTATAAAATTTTCAACCATATTAAACGCCATAATGCCCTGATATTTGGGTTTCTCAAGCGCCATTTGATCAAAAGTTTTACGGAAATTTTCTTTCTGGTCATTGTGTTCCTCCATGTTAGAGATTGGGTAAAGTCTATGTTACAGTTGTGTGCCTGGTTGCCAAGCCTTTTCACAGGAGTGAGGCATGACCTTGTTATGATATAAACCTTGCCTTGTTATTACGCTAACTAACTGCTTGTCTCTATCACAACATGGTCACTTTCAGCCTCGCTCCACATCAAAGG